CGCTCCCCTGGGCGAAACTCGCCCGCCCGGCTCGCCGCAAGGAGACACCCGCTGCCTCCCGAGAACCCCTAATACCATCCATACAGCTTTAATGCGTTTATAATTCGATAAGTGATTTCAATTTGAAATTGTTAGTAACTAATTTTATGGGTAATTTTTCCACATCAAATATTTAAGTATCAGATTAAGGGAGCCAGTTCCGACACAGGATAATAAGGGGGTTTCCCCCCATCCCCAGCGCCTCCGCCTCCCTCCGTTTCCTACCGAGTCGTTTTTCCAAATCCCCAAAAGATGGCAGTCGAAGCCGACATTCCTCTTTTCCTGTAGCTCTGCGAAGGGAGTGGGGAGATGGGTGGGGGGAGAGACAGAGGGCGGGAGAGAAATCCGGAGACTCGGCGAGAGGCAAGAACAGGGGAGGGAGAAAAGAGACGACGTTGCATGGACTTTTCAAACTAATTCTTTCACACGTTTCTAATACAAGAAGCAGGGGTGAATTTCCTGGAAATGCCCTGGCAGGAAAGGAAGCCAAAACACGTGCCTCGTGGGCTCAGAGTAGGGGATGTGAAAACTCAGTACGTACAACTAAACCCTCAATTCATAACTGAAGGGGCAAGGAGAGACCCGGAGAGTGGCAGCCTGGCTTTTTTGCTATTTCACTGCATTTTAACATTATATATAAATACTATGCAACTAAAGAAGTTGTTCTTTCGAGGGCAGGACTCTGCAAACGACATAGTGGGGAGGGGTGGGGTGTGGAGAAAGGGTGATGGGTGGGGGGCAGCTTGGAGTGGGCGGAGGAGCGGCTAGGGCTAGCAGCGGATGAATTGCACACCAGTTGCCAAAAGTTTTTTTTTTTTTTTGCTGCTGCTGCTGCTGTTGCGGCTGCCTTTGCTGCTGCTTTTGCTTTGAATGTGGGTAACTAGGAAACAGCAAGCCGTCTGAGAAGACGGAATTTCCAACGTGTAAAATGTTCTTAACGGAACCATTGAGCGAGTGCAATAAGGCGTGAGGGGGAACTAATCTTCCCATTTAAATGTTTGTGGCAATTTTATCTAAATGAATTTTAATGCTAAACGAGGGTAATTCCCCATTTGTAGCGCGTTTACTTCTCTTTCCTGCGCTTCTAAAGCAGTCGAACATGATGCAATGAACAATAACAATAAAAATACTGTCAAGGCGTATTATTCATTTTGAATGTGTTATAATTACAGCTGATTAAATATGATAGGGCAAAATATTTTTTTGCATTAAAAAAATTAGATCATGCTAAGAAGTTGCCCCATTCAGGCAGCGTTCCCCGCCCCCCGCCCCCCCCCCTTAAAAATAAAAAGCAGATACGATTGTGTGCCCTTGTTTGGAGAAGGGCGTTTTGTTTTTGCCTTTTAGGAAACATAAAAACCCTCTCAGCTTCTCTATTATTTCTCTTTCGGTTAAGTGTCCTCAATAACCTTAGAGCCGGCTCTGAAATTTACAAGAGGAAAAGCTAAGATAGCATAAAGGGGGTGGGGGACCCAGAAGGGACATGCCAATAGCAAGGCTCTCACAAAAAGGTGAAAACAGGAGGAACGCCAAGAAAGAACACATTTTGTTTTATTTTTCGAATTGACTATTAACCATCTTGATTCGTGTATTCCCCACATTGCCTAACTTCTCTTGACTCGTACCTTTTCTCCTTCCCCTAGCAGGTCTTGCTCTCCCTCTCTCTCTCTCTCTCTC